GTAATCAATCAGCCCATGAAGAAAGGGATGAATGGGAACACCGAACCCCCGGTAGAAGTAATCTTCGAAGACAACCAACTCATCGGTGTGGGGTGTGGGGAATTCCTCACCAAATACAGGGTGCCATCCCACCGTCACCCTATCGGGCAGCATGTCATCCACTACCAGGGCGTTGAGCGTCGTCTCGTCGCTGACGGACCGCGCCCACTCCTCCTCACAGTTGATCCCGCGCACCACCGCCCTTGAGCTCCTACGGCTCCTCTTTGATGCCATGAAGCGGATCAGAGGAGAAGAGATGACTTCTGCGCTTGGAGTAGCCCTAATGGCGGAGTGGTTGTAGAGAGCAGAGGCGATTGCACGAGGAAGAACATGATGCGATTGGGAAATGGTGGGGAGTGTGTGCGGGCATCATGACACCTTTATAATGGTTCGACCCAACTCTTCGGATTCCAGGGTTTTTGGGAAACCGCGCCCACCGCGCCGTTCCCACTTCCGAAACCTCCACACGCTTTCCTGGGCTGCTAAATGGGCCTAGCGGATCCGCAACTACAACTGCGTTGTCCGCGGGCCACCAAGCAGATTTAAGTGCTAAGCACTGTTTCGCTGATTTACTTGGGAATTTCAAAGCACAATTTTTTCTTCAGATCCTGCCATAAGATTTCTTCTCAATCTTCTAGCAGGCCCAGGGACTACTAAAAGCCCTAATTTGGTTTTGGATAATTGATGAAACCTAGCACTAACCTTTGTCATAAGTTGTGAGACAAGCTAGGTTGGTGTAATCCAAGTATGGAGCATGGTGGCTCTCAAGAGAAGGTGATGATCACATGAAATGTTGAGATGGCCACATGTGATGATGATCAAGTGCTCAACTTGAAAAAGAAGAAAGAGAAAAACAAAACCCTATGGAGCTCAAGGCAAAGGTATAAATAGAGACTTTGTTTCGGTGATCAAGACACTATAGAGAGTGTGACCACATTTAGGATAGATGGCCGTACTATTAAGAGGAGTTCTTAACTAGATAATTCGGTCATCTAGTGCCACTAGGTGTTGGACTTCATACATTGCATTTAGGCCTAGTGCACTTCGGAGAGCAAGCAAAAATATTTATGGAAAATGATTTGAGAAATGCTAACTTGACTCTAATATGTTTTGAGAAAACACTTTGAGGGTTAGCATCGTTGAGGGGAGTAGCTCGAGTTGACGTGGATCGAATAGCGCAAAAGTTTGCAACTCAGAGAGCTAGTGGTGGTGCCTAGGTGGCACCACCACCCCCTGTCCGGTGGCACCACCACCCCTAGGACAGTGCCCACCTGGGCTCGACAGAGAAGAGCCGAGAGCGTCTAGTTTGGGGTGGTCACCGGACATGCCGGTGTACATCACCATGGGCGTGGCGGTGCACCGCCCGGTCACCACCATGGGCTATCCAGTGCCACCGCCATGTTTGACCCGAGAGCACCGAATGTGAGGGGGGCACCGCTATGGTCACCGCCATGGGTGCGGCGGTGCACCGCCCCTTTTATCTAGAGAGCAAGGAAAACAGGGGGGAGCTCGGCAGGGTGGTCACCGCCACCCTGTTCGGTGCCCCAACGGCTAGTTTGTGATCGTTAAAATTCGATCGTTGGGCAGGTCACCACCATGCCTGGTGCTTGGCACCGCCATGTCCGGTGATCTCGCAGAAATAGCTCCAAGGGGTATAACGGCTCTATTTACTTGTGTGGCTATAAATAGAGGGTGTGACTGGCCTTTTCCACTCTCTTGACACTTCATACACTTGTGCACACCCTTTGGAAGCTGAGCAACACACTCCACTCACTTGTTCACTCGATTTCATCATCTTGAGTGAGTTTGGAGAGCATCATCTTGCGGCACTAGTTGGGTGATTTGGGCTGGTTATGAGCTTGTTACTCTTGGTGTTTGTCGACACCTAGATAGCCTGGTGATTGGAGGATCATTGAGTGGAGTTGGTGATTGTCTCCGGCCTCGATCGGTTGCTTGTGAGGGGTCTTGTGCCTTCCCCGGTGGAGCACCAAAGGCAACTCTAGTAAATTGCTCATGTCATTGAGCTACCTCACTTGTAGGTAGGTTCTTGCGGTGGCCTTTGTGGTGGGCTAGGTGTGTGATACCTATTAGCCGCCGAACCACCAAGTGTTAGTCGACACAACGGGGATTAGCGTGCCGGCAAGCATGTGAATCTTGGGAGAAAAATCTTGTGTATTTTGTGTGATTGGATTTCTCCTGGTGATTGGTCATCTTCATATTGTGATTGGTTCATTCCTCGACGCGGCGGTATAATCACCCTACTCACTCCATTTACTTTCCCACAAACTAGTTGTAGTAAGCTCTTTAGTGTAGGTAGAATTGAGAGCTTGCTTTGCAGTTTAGTTTCATCTAGTGGAGCACTTTAGTGTAGCTTTCTTGAGAGCTCTTAGTGAGTAGAACCATAGCCTTGTTGTGTGCCTAGTGATCATAGCAACTAGAATTATTAGAATAGATGACTTGCAACCCTTGTAGAGCTAGAGCAAAATTTGCATTACACCATTTGTTGTACTAATCAATTGCTCTAGTCAATTTATAGAGTTTTAAATAGGCTATTCACCCCCCCTCTAGACATATTAGGACCTTTTCAACTACGTGTGTACATGTCATCTGGCGATGATTGTGCTTCTTCTCTACACTGAATTTTTCTCAACTAAGCTGGGGACTAGTTTGGTACCTGAAGTTTACTGTTTTGGACCCTGACACCACGTGAATGCTTCACCTACTGTCAGGCTCGGGGACTAAGTGGGCACACTTCACCTTGTGGTGAATGTGTTTATTTCTAGGACCCGACAAGCTTTGACACGACTAAGTCATTGATGGTGATCGTCGCTGCTCTCCGTGTGGCTCTAAGAGCATTTTCGCCTAAGGCATATATGCTAAGCATCCCTCTTCGCTCTTGACGGACTAAGTTCCTCCGCGCCGACTAAGTCGGGGATGCTAAGCGTACAACTTCGCTGCCTGGAAGCTAAGTGGACACACTTCACCAAAGGTGAAGACTTCAAAAAAATTACTTGAGCTCCTTACATCCTTCTGGCAACTTTGAGTGAGTCCGGCTCCAGCAACCAGTTGAACTATTCAGGCATCTGTTTCAACAGCTCGGACGACGTGTTCAACGGCTCGGACGACCTGTTCAACAGCTCGAACAATGTTTCTTTCAATAGCTCGTCTCCCAGTTAAACTGGTCGATAGCCTATTTCTGACGATCAGCAGCAAGTTGGACAACTCGGACAAGCTCAATACGGTGTTGCTCATCGGATACAAGGCGCTCGGGGACTAGCTATGGGGATATGATCCCCGATACCCACAGGGCTGTACATGGGCCAAGCCTCCAAGGGAGGCCCAGCCCACAAGACTACGCCAGGTGGAGCACGACATAGGTCGGCGTGCCTCGCAAGGCTACGTGAAGATCCTTGGCGATTAAGGACAATTTGTTCGTATATGCTAGATTCCGTGTTCTTTGTAATTCCTACCGTGTAACCGATCAGGATTAGATTCAACCGACTTGTAACGCTACCCCCGTATTATATAAGGTGAGTAGGGGCCCCCTTGTTTTCACCTCATATAAATATGCAACCCACCAAAGACATAGGACGTAGGGTGTTACGTCAAGCTGACGGCTCGAATCTGCCTGATCGTTGTTTCACGCGTTCTGTGTCACCGTCCTGCTCCTAGCACGCGCACCTTCACCGATTCATCTACTACCGTGGGCATACCCCTCGGTAGACTGCCGACCAGATTTCGTCGAAGCTTCGTGGGAAAGTGTAAGTGGGATGAATCGGTGGAGGTGTTTCCTTGTTTCACGCGTTCTGTGTCAACGTCCGAGCCATTTCACGCGTTGTTAATTGTGGGATAGACCAGCGTATAAGGCTTCTAGAGTCCATCCCACCATCCCCGGGTTAATCTATTTACACGAAGCGAGGACGAAAGTGTAAGTGGAATGATGGTAGGTGTGGTTCACTCAACGTGCAGAATGGATCTGAGTCATTTAGACTCTAGGGCGTTACAACGCGGGGGTGGCGCCTCATAGTAGCGACAGTGGTGTGGGGGTAGCCTGGAGTAGCAGCTCGACACAGGGGCAATGCCCAAAGTGACGATGGCGACGCAACAGCTCAGAGGAGCAGCACATAATCATAGGCGACTCGAGGAGCAGTGGCACAGGACGTGAGTGTCGCATTGTGTGTCTTAACGTCGGGAGGAAAAGAGAATGGGTTGCTCTGGCCCTGTTTGATAGCGGCGGTTAAAATAAGCTGGTCAGATCCAGCTTATGTTTTTTTTAGTACAAATAGGAATTGTGGGCATAAGCATGGTCAGAGTAAGCTGTAGAAAAACGTAGCGTTTGGCTGTTAATTTCAACTTATTTTAGCCATAATCAACTTATAAGCTGTACCAAAAGCCCTCTGTCCTTCCTCTGAGCAGGGGGAGATCTTCTAGAAAATAGGATCATGGAAAGTGAGTTAAAAAAAAGGATTTGCTTGAGCTCTCCTTTTGCCTTTCAATCCTCTTTTTTAATGAATATAGGAAAAAATATCTCTTTTCCCAATCTGCACAGCTAGTCTAAATGACTCAACGTGTAGAGTGTCCGAAATGGGTGCACGCTGCGTCGCTGCCTGAATCGGACAGCTTTTTCCCCAGAGCAAACAAGCCCGTTGTGAGGCAAAAGTTTAGTTTTAAAAAGTCTGGTTAAATTATTACAGTACTACTTAAAAGACGGTTAAAATTCCTCTAAAAAAAGACGGTTAAAAAAAACGCAATTCGATGGAGCACGCAAATGACTTCCCCTGCGCCCCAACGGGCCGAAAACCCAACACGTCGCGCCCAAAACCGCCGACCAAGGCTCGCACACGCGGCGGCCTCGCGCTCGCCCGCCGCGTCGTCGTCCTCCCTGTCCCTGATCCATCCCCAGTCCCCACCGGCCACCTCCCGCTCGCCGCCGCCGCCGGTAGCCGGAGGCCCGGAGGTCCATGGGCCAGGCACTGCGCCGCGCCTCGGGGCGCGTGAGGCCCCCTCCTCCCGCTCACTCGCCCTCGCCCTCGCCCTCGCCGCCCGCGAGGCAACCCCAGCCTCCCCCGCCTCTTTCCCGGGCGTCGCCGGCGGCCGCTGGCGGCGCGACGAATGACCGGCTCGACGCGCCCTCCGGTGACGGTAGGGCCGGCTGCTGCTGCTTCTCCTGGTTTCTCCACTCTAGGATTTATAGCTTGCTCGCTTAGCTGTGTTGCTAAATCGCATCGCCCTTGCTACTGGAGGCCGCTGGTTTCGCCTAGGCTCCTGGTCCGCTGATGCTTGCATTTCTGTAGCCTAGTAAGTCTTCACGTCACAGCCTAGTAAGTCTTCACGGTGTGACGTGGTTGTGGGTTAAATTCTACCAAAAAATTGAGGACCGAAAGTAGGATGCTTGATAACTCGGATTGATTAGGACTTAAAAGCCAGCTCTTGATTCGGGACCCTCTGTTGTGTCTTCTTGTGCTAAGGTATTTAATCAGATGGGTGGAATACTGGAATGTATGCCAACGATTAGAACTGTTTAGTAGAAATGTATGTACCATCACCAATTTACTGTTCCTATCATGCCTCATTTAACCTTGATTTTACTATAGTGGATTCCTACTGGTTACAGGTACCAAATTGAACTTTTGCATATAGTCCACCCTTCCCACTACCATTTCGAGTATGTAAAAGTATGATGATAGGATGATGATGGTGTGTGGGTGTGGGTGTTGGGGGCGTAGTGGTGTTCCATCAGAATTTGATGCAGCTGTTTATTGATCCTTGATCCAAGATTTTGACAATTTGTTCTGCTTGATGGCTTCTGTTGTTCAGCACTCACTCTTCACCCAACTTATAGGATAGCAATAATCAGCTTCTAGATTAGTAAAACATTTATCTGTAAGGGGTTCAGCACCTCTTTGTGGATCATGATCTTCATTAGTTTTACAACATTGGGTTCAATTCAGTAATTGTACTACATGGAAATGCTCTAAAACCTTTCAAAACATAATTGTTTAATGAGGTAGCGACGTAGCGTATCCTATCCTGCATATGAAATTTCCATTGGAAATATCAGCACTTCCCACAAATAGTACATTCGATGTAAAGGACATTGCTCCTCTCTGTGAACTGTAATTCTATTCAAAACCTTGGATCTACTGATTCCAAACTCTGGTACTTAAAGCCCCACAATTATAAGTCCTTTCTTATTTGATTTTCTGGGCATGAGCCCCATACACCCTATATTACAAGGTTTAATACCCATACCTACAGTAAAGGCAAGCCTATCCTCTCCAACATGACAGTGATGACATTATTTCATTCAGTTCAATGTTCAATTCTGGTAGGTATGGATACTGGCATCGATGTGACATCATAGAGAGGAAGAGCACTAAGGAGTTCAGAGTAGGCAAGAACCACACTTATCTGATCGGCAGGCATTAAACACCTTTAATGTGCATGGACATGTCTACCGATGCCAAACTAACTAGTAGTAAGAACATGAACTTTGAGATTTGAGATGGTGTTTGGTCTGCTTCTTATGCTGCATGACATTTGTGTTTTTGGGTGTTGATGCTTTGAAAAAAAAACTAATTGGATTTTCAGGACCAAAATCAACTGTGCTAAAGCATTTGTGTGGGTGGGTATGGATTTTAGGGCCTTGTTTGTTTCTGCCTATAGCAGACTTGATTATAATCTCACCGTACCGCAGGGATATTTTCGATTCTCTATTCTCGTTTTGCTAATTCAAAGTTCTTAAGCAGCAGTCAGCAGAATCAGAAATACTCGAAGCGTTTGGTTAGGATTCTCTTTTTTTTTCACCGAGAATCCAATTATATAAGCGGAAACAAACAGGGCCTAACTAATCCCGACTGAGTCTTCTTTGGATAATTATTCTTTTAGTAGCTCAATGCTCATATGCCAATATGCCAAAAAAATGTTTTTCAGTATGTTCTCAATGCAAATTCTTTGCTTGTCTAGGAATCTAGGATCTAGAGTGTCTCTGTACATAGCATGACACACTCCCATGTTATTTAACTGCAAACTTTAGCATGTTTACTGGTTTCAGAAGTCAGAAGCTGTGGTCAATCTTTTTTGTTCACCAGTCTGTAATTTTTGAAAGTATAATGCAGATGTCACGACACCAATGAAAAACGTCCATGGTGTACTTGAGGAACGTGATCCAAGTTATGACGAGATGCTCAAGCACATGGTTGGGAGAATCACTACTAAGCCTGGAGGAAAACCAGAAATGGGTGAAGTAAGTCCGCTAGAACTAAGGAATGCTTCCCACATTATAGGTCTGAATCATTGAAGTTGTGGCAACATATTGCCTTGGCCAACAAACTTTGAATTGAACAACACCGTGCTTGTATGAAAAAAAAAAGTAGTACTGTCTTTGGTTATCCACTTAGGCCCCGTTTAGTTCCGAAATTTTTTGGCTTTTGGCTACTGTAGCACTTTCGTTTGTATTTGATAAAAATTGTCCAATTATGAACTATTTAGGCTTAAAAGATTCGTCTCACGATTTCTCGGCTAACTGTGTAATTAGTTTTTTTTTCGTTTATATTTAGTACTCCATGCATGTGCCGCAAGATTCGATGTGACAGGGAATCTTCAAAAATTTTGGGTTTTGGGTTGCATCTAAACGGGGCCTTACACGGAGTGCCCACTGCAAACGAAACTAACACAGATTCAATCTGGCAGGCTTCCGTTGTACAGCGGTACAACAGACCGCTCCCACAGGTCAGAACATCAAAGGCTGAACCTGGGCAAAGTGGGGGCAGGCAGCTACCATCAGGTGCCCTAAATGTCCAGCACATCCAGGAGATAATCCAACTGTACCAAGGAAAGTCTGCTAACCACCAGGGTCCGATGAGTGTGGATGACATCGCCTCGAGGTTCAGAGTCGAAGCCTCTGTCGTCCAAAACATTGTGCAGTTCGTTTCGCTGCCCCAGGACGAGACCGTCAAGAAGAAAGATGAGCACTGAGGGTCCACGTGGTCTTGCAGCTAACTCTGAGCCTTGTTGTTCCTGTTCCCAAGCTCATAGAGAAGAGTCGGCTGGGATTAAAGCCGGCTGAAGTTGATTTATTGTAAGAGAAAAATACTGTAGATTCTAGCTGATAAGTTCAAATGAACAGACTCGAGAACTGCTTGAATGTCATTTTGTAGTGTTTTTTTTAGGCTTCTCCTGCTCCTGCTGCTGAGATGAGGAGGTGGTGGAAATTAAGAAAACATGGGCGTGTTTCTTACCTGAATAAAGATGACAGCGTTTTTTTTGCCCGATGGGGCTTGTCATGCTTGGTCTATTCTGGGTATTGTGAAAGCATCATGGGCTGTGAGTAGGGATGAAAATGGATCGGATACGGACGGATATCACCGATATTACATTTGTTTTCATATTTCTGTTCGGATTCGAATACGAATAATATCAACTATGTCGGATAGGATACCATTGGGTATCGACATCACAAATATGCGATTTGAGTTATGGTATCGGATGTTGAATATCCGGACTCGGATACGGACAGATCTGAACATCTCTAAATGAATTTGGTCTCGAATACAGTCGGAAAATATCTATACCGTTTTCATCCCTAGCTGTGAGAACAGTGTCTGAGTGTTAACAGTCAAAGGCAAAGGGATGTTTGGATGAATTAATGCTATCTTTAGATCCTTTTTCTTTGTGAGACGGTGCCTTATACTCGGGGTGTTCGGCTGGTACAGATTTCCACTGTAGTTCGGCTAATTTTGGATGATTCAATAGTGTTGTGAGAGAGAATAAGCTGAAACAATCCAAGACCAGATCGGCCGAACACGCCGTTAGCTTTTTATGTACCTGTGCTGTATCGGTGGATCAAATCCGATAATGATACCCTCAGGCCGTATGTCCTTCCGGACGGTACGGACCCGCCTAGCGTCGCACACCCATGCTTCTCGCGTGTCGCGCCGTACCTGCCTCGCATCGCGTGCCATTGCTCCTCGTGCCTTGAGCTAGACCCGCCTAGCGTCGCACGCCCTTGTTTTTGCGCGTCGTGCCGGACCTCCCTCGCATCGCGCGCCACTGCTCCTCACGCCTTGAGCCGGACCCGCCTTGCGTCGTGCGCCGTTGGCTCCTCGCACACGTGCCCCTGTTCGTGCCTCGCGTCACGCGCTGCCCGCGCTGCGCTCCCCCGCACCGCGTCAACGAGCTTCATTAGCCGGCAGATGAGCACATGTTTGCAACAGATATGTTTCATGAGTTTTATACGTACGTTGCATATATTTCATCTGGATGTTTCAAAAGTAGATCTGGTATTACATACGTTACAATGGCTATACACGTATGTTGCAATTGTATGTTTCAAATGTGTCAGCTATTTCAAACATATGTTGTAAGTATTTTATCTATATGTTATATATGTTGCAGTGGCTATACACGTATGTTGCAAGTGTATGTTCTAAATGTTTCAGCTATTTCAGAAATATGTTATAAGTGTTTTATCTGGATGTTGCATATGTTATAGTGGCTATGCACATTTATTGCAAGCGTATGTTTCAAATATTTTACCTATTTTAAACATATGTTGTGGAGTACTTCATGTTGAAGCGTTTACGTTAGCACGCAGCATGCGATGATGCGAGACAGCAGCAAGCGAGCATAGGCGCGCAGCACGAGGCGCACGCAGGGCATGCAGCAGCAGCAGACGCATGCGGGCGCGTGTAATAGATGGGGCATACAGCAGCTGAGCAGTGTGTAGGCGGAGCAGGCAGGCAAGCCACGCCCAATCATATATGGCAATGCAATACTGCCAGAATAATTTGGTCAGCAATGTCCACTACTGTGGTTGCTCGTTTTATTTTTTTTTACAACAACTGTTGTTGCTCGTTGAAGTTTGCCAGGCCTAAAGTTGAGTGCAAACGACATCCGGCGAATATTGCTTTATTGTTATATTCATTCATGTCCCCGCTTCGCTAAAAAAATAAACCGAAACACTGTTCTGGCTGATTTCTGTTAGGATTGATCTCCCACCAGTTAGGCCCAACGGCCTAACTAGGCCTTGTCCTCGCGCCCTGATCGGGGGCGCCCAACCCTACATGGTTGGTGGGCCCCCGTCGCACAAATATATATAAAGGAAAGGTGGGGCCGGGCTCGCAATCGAGGTTCACCGCGCCGCCAACACCCCTTACCGACATCCTAACCCTAAAACCCGATCTTGAGAAGGGAAATGCCAATGACGAGAAGCACCACCGACGCCGCAACGCCACCTCGACGCCGACGCCACGCCGCCGCCGAGGACGCCACGCCACGCCGACTCCCTTCTCCACCACAACGTCATTGCTGCCGCTGCAGATGGCATCCGTCAACGAGACCCCGGCCGGAGCTTCGACCACTACGGCTTTCGATGGTTTGCTACATCTCACTCCCCTTCTCTCTGCCTCTCATGTAAATCCCGAACACCTATTCTATTTCTATACAAGACATCCCGATCTGTAACGAACCAAACCTAACAATTTCTTGTGAGAGAAAAATACTGTTCCAGCTGAAAAAAAACAAGCTGAAAAAGACAGATTATAAGAGAAGCGATCAGGAAGCATGCCATTTTGCTGTAAAACTTGTGCAAATTCTAAGATGCGCTTAAATCAGTTTTAGCCACTTTCCTAAACAGCCTACATGAGTTTCAGTTTTGTAGCCTTATCGGAAATGGGCTAGAGGGATTGCACTCCAAATATCTTGAAAAACCTTTATGATAGGAAGAAATGTTTGTGACATTATAGATCTCAACTCTCAAGGCCGGTCTCGTGGTATGCATATAGGGGTAGTTTCTTAAACTTTGATATTGCATAAACTGAACAAGGGGATTTATATATAAAATTTAAGTTGATGAATAAATAGGATGGTTATCAATGGGCCTTGTACTAAAGAAAACCTTACCGATTTTATCTTTTTTTAAGTAGATGGTGATTTTAATATCATATTCATATATGGTTCACATGAAAAGAATAATGCCAATTATAATTATAGCCATTCTTGTTTAACGCAACCATCGACACTTTTAGCTTGAGAGTTGGAACTTTCTGGGAGGCAATTTACTTGTATGATTTTATATTGTAATGATCGGGAGAAATGAGAGGCATTTTTTCAGATGAAATATAATACAACTCCAGGTCAGATGGCATTCCATCAGAGTTTTATAATTTTTTTCTAGTATGTAGTAAAAGAAAATTCGTGAAAGCAAGGAATTTCTTAGACGAGCATTGACACAGGCATACAATGAAAAGCCTCGTTAAAAAAGTATCGAGCCATGTCGGAGCCGATGAATTAAAACCAATATCTACTCGATGCAGGACACGCCTGACATGGACTGCCCTTATTTCTACGCCACTAGCACCCGACGCCCGCGCACCTGCATCCCGATTCCTGAGCCCATCTACATGGGGCCCGCCCCGTCTGACTGCACGTGGGAGTCTATTCGTGTCCTTTCGTTTCTCACGCGCATGCACGTGGCTAGCAACTGAAGCAGATGACTACAAGTGGCTACGTCAGCGTTCAGAAAGAGGGGGAGGAGGCAGCAGCGGATGCCCAGCTGACGTCGAGAGGAGGAGGAGACACCGAGGCGAAGATGAAGCAGCAGAAAAGCGAAGACAGAGATGCAACACCTGATCTACTTTTGAAGCATCCGGATGCGTCACTTGCAACATACATTTGAAGGCAGATGAAACACATAAAACATGTATCTGAAACACTAGCTGCAACACCAGATCTACTTTTGAAACATCCAGATGAAAATTTTGCAACATACGTACGAAACAACTGAAACACGTAAAACATGCATATGAAACGCTTGCAAAAAATACCTAAAAATACTTCATATGTGTGAAAACATATGCAACGTCCAGATGAAACACTTACAATATACGTCTGAAAAATGAGATAAAATATTTGGAACATACACTTGAAACATATGTATAGCCACTGCAACATGTGCAACATTCTGACTACTTTTGCAACATCAAGATGAAACACTTGCAACATTCAGATGAAACATCTGAAACACCTGAAACATACTCTTGCAACATGGGCTTTGCTCAGACAAATAGAGGCACGCCGGCGCGGAGGTTGACGACAACAGCATGGACCTCATGCGCAAGGCAACCACGACGGCAACTCGTCGACGGGCGCAGAAGTCACACGAATCTCGTCCCCTTGCTCGCTTGCCGAGCATCCGTCGTGGGAGCACGGTGACTTCGGTGGAGGCGGTCGGCGAGCGGGCCAGTCGTGGCGAGGAGGTAGAGCGGCGGAGGCGGACGAGGCAGCCTAGGCCGGATGGGGAATGCGGCGCGGAGGAGGCAGCTCGGGGAGGCAGCGCGGAGGAGGTCGTAGGGGATGGGGCGCGCGCCGGCTGGGGATCGGCGCGCGAGGCGGAGGAGGGGTGGGCGGATGGGCACGACGACGCAGTGAGAAAACGACGCAGCGAGCATCGAGACGAGCGAATAAGGTCGCTGGGTGAGCGACGCGTGCAGAAATGAGCGGAGGAAGACGTTCGTCCGTCCGTTCGGACGTGTATCATTATCGTGTAAGTCGATTCTAGTCGGAGGTTGGATTGAAATGTCTGTACATTTATTGATTTGATTTGAAAATATGAATATATTCTGCCTGTACATTTGAACATATCGCGGCTGCACGAATCTCATCGTACGCCGCTCGAAGTCGCCTCCCATTTCGCGGGTCGCCGCTGCGTCAAGCGAGCGCTTCCCCATCAGATCTCGATCATTCTAGAATCCTCCGCCCCGGCCCTCCCGAGGCTCCGCCGGATCCAGAACCTTCTAGAACCCCTGCACTGCGCGGTGCGCGCCCTCCTCCTCCCCGTCCGGATCTCGACACCCCTCGGCGTCCCAGACCTGGTCCTGGGCGGTGAGTAAGGCCTAGCGGTGAGTGAACCCCTCATGGAGGTTCGTGTGCTGCCGCTTGGTTTATCGACTCCTTATCCGTGCTTCTTGCGTTGCGGCTGCTGTCCAAGCTTTAGCGACACAGAGTCATTACTACTTGGTATTGGTAGTGCCCGTTGCACAAAGTAGATGTTTCAGTTTCTTACATCTCGTCATCCTGCGGCCAATTTTTTTTTTTTTTGGGCATTCCTTTGTTGTGGACATTTTCCGTCTCATGATTCATGATCGTGGTAGGCCCTGACAGTTCGATACACTGATACGTTGATTAATAGGACCACCAAGATACGTGATCATGATTGCTTTCTAACGTAATACTGTAATAGTATGATCGCTGATGGCGTGGACTTGTTTCCTTAATCTTGTTATTATCTGCAAAAGGACCGGTGGCCATCGGACCCGCTATCCCCAACAGCATTGCCCCCGAGGAGCCTAAAGTCGTCGTGCCAGAGGAGAACGGGGAGATGGGCATGGCTGATATCCAGGACAAGGAAGTCAGTATGGAAGGGCTCTGCTCCATAAGCACCTATGATCAGTGGACGCCACTCTCTGTTTCTGGCCAGCTCCCGAAACCACGCTATAAGGTCCCCTTTGGTTTTCTTGACCGCCTAATTTCACTTTTGCGCATTTAGTGACCTGTTGTCTATGATGGTTGCAGCATCGAGCTGCGGTGGTTCAGCAGAAGATGTACGTCTTTGGTGGAAATCACAATGGCTGTTACCTTGGCGACATCCAGGTAGATTGTTCCTCTAGATGTTGTATCTGTTGGCTGCTGCATTTTTGGGCAGGAATTCTCACAATCATCTTGAACTGAGATGTTGTACTGAGCCAGCACCTTCAATCTTAGCAATAAAGCCATGGGTCTTAACATTGGGAACCCTTTTCTGTTCAAAAGGTTCTGGACTTCAAAACTTTGTCATGGTCAAAGCTGGAAGCTAAATCACAAGCAGAACCATCAGAATCAGCTGGATTAGTTCCATTTTCTGCATGTGCTGGTCATTCAGTGGTAAACCAAAAGCTCTTTTCACTCGAGCCTTAGGGAATTGGCCAGTTTTATCCCAATTGGTTAGTTTATAACTGTATAGTGTATTTGCATCTGGCTTTAATATCTTCCAGATTCAATGGGGAAATAAGATCCTATGTCTTGCAGGACATACTAGAGAACCTGCAGAAAGTCTCAGTGGTTAGGCTAATATTTCACTCATCTTTTCCTATTCATTTCTCAGCGTCTTAGTTCTTATTTCTTATGCGCATTTATGACAGTCAAGGAGTTTGATCCACAAACCTGCACTTGGTCTACCTTGCGTACTTATGGAAGGTCACCGTATGATTGTGTTTGTCTGTGTTTTATCTCCAGCTTTGTTTTTCTTTTTGTTTCTTCCCAAAATCTGTGATGTTGTTTTCCTATTTCCTTTAGAGCTCACGTGGTGATCAGTCAGTGACTCTTGTTGGTGACACTCTAGTTGTGTTTGGCGGTGAAGGTCATGGGAGATCTCTTCTGAATGATCTGCACATTCTCGATCTTGAGACCATGACTTGGGATGAATTTGAGACCACGTAAGTTCTATGATGTAAATTTATTGGTTAACTTCATGTCTTCATTAGAAATGGTTTAGCTAAACCTGTAAATCTGGATGTGTTTTTATGCAACGGTCCCTATTGGATAGAATTCTTAGCCTTCCTCTTTATGTTGAACTGGTTTCTTATATAATTGTGGAGAACCCAAACTTGAAGTGATGTGATTATGCTACTTCGTAATTCGCTTGCAGTTGCAGCTGGTAATACATTTGGTCTAGGACATGGAATGAAACTTGTATTGTTCTTGCTCTGCTTTGAGGGGCAGGATTAATATCTGACTGTTTTCAAATCATGCTGTTGCTCTCCAGAGGCACTCCCCCTTCTCCAAGGTCAGAGCACGCTGCTGCTTGCTTTGCAGAGCGGTATCTTCTGATATTTGGCGGGGGATCGCATTCTACATGTTTCAGTGACCTACACCTCCTTGACACTCAGACAGTGAGTATTCTTTTCTCTAAAGCTGGTATGTAATTCTTTTGGGAGTCCAAATGAATCACTTGGTCGTTACAGATGGAATGGTCAAGACCAAAGCAGCAAGGTATTACTCCAGAACCAAGAGCAGGGCATGCAGGTGTAACTATTGGAGAATATTGGTTTATTACTGGGGGTGGAAATAGTAGGAAAGGTAAGGTTGAGATATCTGACAATTTTATTACACCACGATTTATGAGTTATAACTCAAAACCAATTTTCTATGGTGTATACATCAGGAATGTCCTGATAAATATAACTGCTACTTATCTATCTTTGTCGTGTCAATCATTTTCTTTTCTTGGGGCTGGTCTTTGAGTTTGAGTTATATCATTTCACTTTTTAAAAAGTATCACAAAAATGATTCCTGCTTACGTACGCCCGATCCACTGCAGGTGTCTCAGATACTCTTGTACTCAACATGTGTACTTATGAATGGTCAGTTCTCACTGATCTTGAGGCCCGTGCACCCCCTACAAGTGAGGTGAGCTCATTGATATTCTGCGTACTTTCATTCACTCGAAAATTTTTGTATTTTCAACTGAGGAAAAAATTTACTTCTGGTTTAATGTTCAAATTCCAACTCAATCAAGGCCACAATTTATGGATTTAATTATCTCAAATGGTGAAGCTCGTCTGGTCTAATAAACTGCCTTTTTTATAAACTTATATACTCATAATTATTCATCGATTGTACTAATTTGTTATGTACTCTTGCTGTTAGCCTGTTAATGATATTCAGAGGCATATTTATGACAGGGCTCAAGTTTAGTAACGCACACAATTAATGGAGAGAATTTTCTGGTGTCATTTGGAGGATATAGTGGGCGTTATAGTAATCAGGCATGCTTCTCTATGAGCACTCTAGTGTTTTTCACATGCCCTTATATTCAGCTGAGCAATTCTTTTTGTTTAGGCTTATGCTCTCAAGGCAAGTCTCAAACCAAGTGTCCCGTCTCAACAAATAGATGAAGCAGAGTCAAATGGTTTTGCCACCATATCTGTAGCAGAAAATTCTAGCAGGAAAGTCATATTTGAAATTGAGGAACTTAAAGATGTAAAGGTAATGTAATGTTTGGATGCATAAACACAGTTTCTGTTCTTTTTCACTCAATAATTTTGTGCACAAACACAAATGCTGGATGGTTCCTCTGGTCTGTTCATTAAAACATATGCAACTTTTTTCACTATCAGCCTGGCAATAGGGCAGATAACAGCAAAACCTTGGGACAAGTAGCTACGGATGAACAAAACCAAGTAGAAGACAGACTTAATCAAGAGCACTTGCAGAGTCTCCGCCTGAAGCAGGAACTAGCTGATGTGGAAAACAGAAATGCAGAACTTACTGAGGCAAGCTATATCTCACTAACCAAATTGTGCAGAACTGCAGAGAATGCCAATAATATTTACTTACAGTGCTACTACTAGTGTCTAAGTGATGCTGTCCTTACATGTTGATCTCTTTGTCCATGACCTCTGTAGAAATATCTTGTGATTGCCCATTTAAGTCACATAAGGTTGAACACGATAGAAAATCTTTTTTTAATCAATGTACCTCAATGAAGTTATAGATTGTTAGTTTGTTACTGCTGTGTAGTGTGTCAAATACTATACTTGAATCGAGCTCTTAGAAAGTCAAATCATGAAAAAAGAACATATACACATAAAAGAGAATTGCAACTCACGATACATCAGGCAACCGTCACTTTATGAGGAAGAAACACGCTTTTCAGCTCAGTGATCAACTTCCATTTCTTTGCTTGGCTCTCTTTTATGCAGGAACTCCACTTAGTTCGAGATCAACTTTCTATTGAACAAACCAGGGCTTCCAAACTCGAGGTAGGCAATAACTTGGAAGGATCTGAGCTCATGCTCTGGCACTTTGATTATGTATCATCTCAATACCTTATGCCAAGCTATGAATGGTTTTAGTGAACTTAGGTTTCCTTTTAGAATATATCTTTTCCCTGAACAACGTTGTTTTATACTCCCTCTGTTCCAAATTGTAAGTCGTTTTGGCTTTTCTAGGTACATAATTTTTGCTATGCACCTAGATACAAACTATGTTGTATCTAGAAAAGCCAAAACAGCTTACAATTTGGAATTGGAATGGAGGGAGTAGAAATTTAGAAAAGGAAACATGTTCGGAGCAGGGATAGGTTAAATTTGAGACCAAGTCCAATAACAGCAGAATCTCTAATAAACAAACACGTTTTTCACTGGTAATGATTGAGTTGTGGTCTTTGCCACCTTGCTTATATTACCAGTATACCATTCTAAAAACATGGTAACCATTATGCCGCTATGGTTTTCTACAAAAACTAAATTTGTCTAATTCAAACAAATTAGTGAAGTAACTTGTACAATACATTGTGGTTTGTACTGGTTATCAGTTAGCACCCCTTTAACTCTGAATGGTACTTATTAAAAAAACTATGGATGGTGCAGTTTATTTGTGTTCCCTTTCATTTGCTGGTACTTGATTTTGAACTGTCTCTGTCTCTTTTTTTAATAAAAAATGGAAACATTTGGCTAATTGAAACAAATTAACCAAGTGACTTGTGCAATACATTGTGGTGAGTACAGGTTATCAGTTAGCACCCCATCCCCCCTTTTAATTCTGAATGATTCAATTTGTTCATGTCGCCTTTCATTTGCTAGTACTCGATATTGAAATAAAAATAACATCACTCCCAATGGACAGAATGAAATTTCAGAGATTCAACAACGACTACAGAATATGGGTACCCTAGAAAAGGAATTTGAATCACTTCGCAGTGAACTGGACAGCACTGTATCGGAAGAGGAAGCTTCGAGTGGCAACCAGACGCACCGCAGCAGGGGCTTCTGGAGATGGAACGGGTGAACTCAAGTAGGAGTGTTGAAGAGAATACACTTCCAAAGAGTTGGTATTCTTTTAAATTTCATGTCTTTCACAAAATTTTGAAAGGAACATCATATATGAATTCTGGATGATACTAGTTCGGAAGCATATACAGGGATCTAAGCAAACTGTCAACTGTGAAAAGCATCTTATAGAAAGTAAATGAATGTCACATGTTCCCGCATTTCCTGTGTTAGAACAATTTCTTATCTGATGATGTTGGCATCGATCATGATCACCAGAGCCGATTTTCTTTTCCTTAAAATCCTCAACATGAATTACAAATGAGAAAGCGACGGCATACACATGCTGGTTCACGAATGAATGCCAGAAATAGACCATCGTGTCATTTTAGGAGGGGAAAAGAGTTCTTTTAAAGTGGCAGGAGCTCTGCTTTAGAATTAAGAGAGAGAAGGAGTTTAAAATAGAGATAGGAGGAATTTAAAAATAGAGATAGGAGCCAAAACACTAATGGAGTGTTTGGTTTGACGAATCAATCCATTATAAATGTGATGATACATTATTAGCGCTATCCCTTAAATTTGGTGGAATAACTTCACTCTCGTACTAGCACTAATTATTAGCTCGTAAGAAATAAGATAGTGTTGCATCAACTCATTTCATTTCACAAACCAAACAAATAAAATGATAATAGACTACCTCGTTCCATGAACTGAACACCTCCTAAGCTCTTAGACGCAGCCCCGAAATGGTGCTGACAGGGCGCCAAAGCCCACTCGCTCACATACAAGCAGCAAAGAAACAACGAGAAACTAACTACAACGAATCAAAAGCCCTTTTCTGTTGATCAATGTCTTCTTTTACCCTCAGTGCCAATTGTTGGAACAAGTTAATCTCTCTTTATATTTTCGTTCAAGTTTTCATCTTCAATTCAAACACAGTGGTTTCCGACTTAAACAAAAATAACATCCGTTTGTATACCTAAAAATGAGGTACTCTCGCTATTACAATGACAAAAATATCTGAATTGATACCATATATCATGTATGAGTTTACAAAATCTACCACAGCCGCCACCACATGGATGTTTGGCCAGGTTCGCATAAATGCAGAAGTAAAACACAGGAGATACTTATGGTGATACCATAATTCTAAAGACCCTTAAATTCTCCCTGATAACAAAAATGTTTGTTCCAAGAGTTGTCGCCGTGATGCTCAGCCAAACATATTCGGAAGTGGCCTCACTGCCATGAATGCATCAACCATCTGCACAAAACAGAATCGTTAAAGCGTTGCAGGAAATTCATAAACTCATATGAGGCCCATTATAGTTCCATTCAGTCTGGGTATAAGTGAGAATTGCATATCTATGTGCAAGCAATGCCATGCATGTGTATGTGTGCGTGCAAGATAAACAGATTGTTTGTTAATCTCACTTGGAAACAAGGTGCAAGAAACCAATCATGCAGGGTCATACATTTGGTAATGAAAAATGGCACAGCTCTCCTACATCGATAAAAAAGAAACCAAATATGCAAGACAGCAGATCGAATCATGTACCTCTTCGGTCACTTGAGATCTAGCTCTTTGATGTCTAGCAACAATCTCAGATAGAACTGCAATGAGCCGTTGCTTCACTTCACCTGTCAACATCCTTCCCTCCTTGTACTCCTGGTGTTTGTGTTTGAAAATGTAAGCACAACTTAAGAATTTTCACAATGATGAATTATGTCTATGAAGCATAAATCTGTAATAATACCTTCTTTATGTGCGCAAGCTCATCATCATCATCTCAAGGAAGAAGTTGAGGTATTTGATTGGGACATCTACCTTCATTGCAACAAAATCCAGTCATTCACAAACTAGTTTTGTGTTACTTAAGAAGAGTATGGTAATTAACCAGAATATCAAGCAGATTATGGGAATGGATTTTTTTTTTCACGAACACACAGGAGAGCTACGTATCATTATATTAAGAAGAAAGGAGTCCAAGAAGAAATATATCACAACCTTCAGCATGTTAGCACTGAAGTATGACATGAAAGACTTCAAGAAACAGAAGACATTTAGAGCTATATGAATTTTAGAACTGGAAGCTTCCAGTGATATATTTATTCATATTAAAAATCTAACTTTTGAGTTCAAAGCAAAAGGTCAGGTGCATAATGCAGGCACACTATTTGGAATACAATATCCTCAATTATAAACGGCAAAAGGCTTACATCAAGGTTAGCTCCAAGTTTTCTATGGAGCTCTATTGAGTCCTGGCCACCTGAGAAGGCATATTTATTCACCTGGAACATTGGAAACAAATTATAAGAGAGATAGATGCAGGAGATCAGCTAATTCTTGGTTCAGTCTAATAACCATTTTCACCATAACTTAAATGGGAAAACTAAATGGGTAGTCAGGTAAAAAAGAATTTCCAGCTAAAAGAAACTTCAGAGCAGGGCAGACCTTTGTCTTTATTTCTTTAGCACTATCTGTCACATATATCGCCAATTTATGTCACTGGCTGACATTTTGTGTTCTCTCCCTGTGAAAAGAACACACAAATTAGTGCCCTTGAAATCATAACCGCTTATATATAATAATAAAAAGGTAAAGAAATCACAAGCAAGTTATAAAACTTTAAATTAACTAGAAACAGTCAAGGTCAACAAACCTGAAGAGCAGGGAAAATCTAGATTCAATCAGTGATTTTTTCTGATAACCAATTCTAGGAGCAACATCACGAGTCATCCTAAAATAGGGATCCTGCAGAAAAGAAAATAAAACTCTACTCTAAAAATTTGAAGGAAAGACACACAAAGATTCAAAATGTATTGGTATGGGTCAAACTTTAAAACAAAAGAGAGAAACATATGCCACATTCTCGCATCTTTCAATTAAAACACTAAGATACATTTTATTGATAATTATGGAAGAATGATTTACTCTTAATTTGCATATTGGAGGGCACGATCAAATCTAGTGCTACAAATAACAAATGATAAAGGCACCAATTCAAATTGTCAAATTTACCCCTACTTTGCATAAGTGGGGCTCAGTTCAAATTTAGGATGGGAATAACTAGGAACTTAAAAGGCAATAGTTCAGAAAATTACGCTAACAGAAATATTACAAGTATGCTAGCAAGTTGATATACATCCACTTATGCTAGTAAAGATCATTATACCAAAGATGTTTGTACCTGATCTATTGCACATGGGATAAGGCACATGAGTTGGTCCTTGCCAGCGAAGAGATGGGGAAATGAAGAAGGAAATGATGGGACTGTTTGCACTGGAGGAAAGCTAACCTTTCCTATGTGATCCTCGAGATTGAACCCAAATATTCCTATAGCCTATTGTTCAAGAGTAAAACATATTAGCCAACCAATGATGCTTAAATGTAAAATCTGTAGTGTTTGAACATTTTTCTTAATTAAACAGCTCTCACCTTATTCATAGTTACACATCTGGCAACTTGCATCATGTTTTCATAAAAAGCACTGCAAGACAAGGCCAGAGGGGTTATTGTTTGCATATAACAAGCAAAGCCAAGATTGCATGGTATCATTTGCTTAGCGATGGACCAAAAAATAGCAGTCAAAAGTTAAAATATAAATCAAAGTTACGAAGAGTAGTCTTACCCTCCAACAAAAGAAAAATCGGAGAAAATGAATGTTCTTTCAATGTCAAAACCACATGCTATAATGTCTTTAGCATTTTCACGGGCAAGCCTTTTACTTTCCTGAATAGTCAAGTTCTTCCACAAGAACTTCTCATCGTCAGTCAGTTGTATAACTAGGGGGCACCTTAAAAGCCTCCTGCAAGTATCTGAAGAAAGATTCTGAAAGTTAATGAAACATTACTTACAAAACCAGAACTAAGAAAGGGACGTATGCGAGTAATCAAACATAACTTATGTTGTTTAGATTTCCTCAAAATAAAATAAAAATCCCTTTTACTTCAAGGAACATGTTTATGAATATTCCTGAGGATCTTCAACTCTGGAGACTTGCAGCACACATTCTGCCATATCCCGTCCCCGACCATCAGTTGATTAGCCATGTGAAAAACAGTCTACCACAAGAAATACTTCAAATTGGAGAACTCAATTTTGCAGCACATATCCTGCCTTATCCCATCCCCGACCATCAGTTCATTAGCCATGTGAACTAACAGTCTACCACAAGGAACAGTTCAAATTGGAGAACTCAATTTGGTTATATTTGCAAATCAAGAATAGTTTCCATTAATCCTTTGTCAAAAAAAGAGAAGAGTTTCCATGTGTCATTAACATATCCAAAGTGGGTCCTTGTATGTAGTGAAAAAACACCACTTGCTACTCTCTCACTGACACAGCATTGTCCAATTATGCAACACATACATAAATCAGAGCATAACTGAGGAGCTGTAGCCCAAAATTCAGGGTACGGAGACACAATGCTTACTTTGTGAACATGAAGGGATGAGGTGGCCGAGGTGCAGGGCCTCCGACGAGGGCCCCTCCCCGTGTAGAGGTAGAACTTCTCCCCTTCTCATACAAATCCAGTAGCTCGTTCAAATCACTATATATAACACAAAAAAGCACAAAAAATTCGTCAGCACCTCCTCCTCCGGGGATAAAAAGTAGGTTTTTTTCTTTTTGTGCAGGTGGCTCGGTACCGGTGGGCGAAGAAGAGGCCTCGGCGGAGGAAGCAGTGCGGCGGTCGTCCGGTGAGGCGTGCGATGCGGCCGACGAGTGCGTCGTCGATGCGCTGGCAGCCGAACTGGTCCACGAGCTTGTCGTAGTCGATGCCGCCCTTCCCGCTGACACCTCCCACGGATTCACCACCTGTTCCTCCTCCTCCTCCTCCTCTTTCCTCGCGGCGTCCACCCCTTGCTCCGCCGCCGCCATGGCCGCTCGCAGATCTCTCCCTTCGCTTCCTCTCCGGCGGCGCGAGGGGATTAGCGGCAGGGTAACCAGACCAGAGCTAAACCTCGGGCTCGCGTTCGCTGCCGTGTGGAGCCCGCAGGAAAGCGAGTAGCGATGGCGCCCGCGGGTCTCCGGGTCTCGGGTTTTATGATACAAAAACCCGAGAGCCGCCTGAGCCGACTCCGACTCCAACTCCCCCTATCCCCAGTCCTCACCGGCCACCGCGAACCGCCGGAGGAATCTCTCTGGCGATGGCGCCGCCAGCCGCTGCGGTTGCCGCCGTCCGCAACCACAGCCCGCACCTGCTCCTCCGCTGCGGCGGCGGGGGTCTCCTCCCATCGCCTCCGGGCCCCGCCACGCTCCCCTTCGCCTCGCGGGGTGCGACGGCCTCCGCGCCCGCGCGCCTGCGCCTGCCGCCGCCGCGGTTCTCGCTCTCCCCGTCCCGAAGAGCCTCTCCGCCTCCTCTTCCTCCCACGTCCCCGTACGCCCTCTTTCACCGGCATCGTCGAGGAGGTCGGCCGCGTGCGCCGCCTCGGCCCGCCGCTCGCGCCGTCTTCTGGCGGGGGCGGCGGCGGCGAGGCTCCCGGACTCGACTTGGAGGTCGAGACCAGGGACCTCCTCGCCGGGACGCAGCTCGGCGACAGCGTGGCGGTCGACGGCACCTGCCTCACCGTGGCGGCGATCGACCCGGCCGCGTCCACGCTCACCTTCGGCGTGGCGCCGGAGACGCTCCGCCGGACGTCCCTGGGCGGCGGGCCCCGGGCGACGGCGTCAACCTCGAGCGCGCGCTCACGCCGTCGTCCCGCATGGGGGCACTTCGTGCAGGGCCACGTCGACGGGACTGGGGAGATCGCCGCGTTCCGGCCGGACGGGGACTCGCTCTGGGTCACCGTGCGCGCGCCGCCGGAGATCCTCCGCCTGCTCGTGCCCAAGGGCTTCGTCGCCGTCGACGGCACGAGCCTCACCGTTCAGTCAGCGTGGACGACGAGGGCGGCTGGTTTGACTTCATGCTCGTCAGGTACACGCAGGACAACATCGTGCTGCCCACCAAGAAGGTCGGAGACAAGGTGAACCTGGAGGCGGATATACTGGGGAAGTACGTCGAGAAGCTCCTCGCCGGGAGGGTTGAGGCCATGGCGAAGGTTGATTCGTGATCTACCATTGCTGAGCTGCTGGGTTGTTTCGTCATTCTATAGGTATTACAGCAAGGTCATTATGTTCATCAATAATACCAGTTCATTCCATTTTGTGTAATTGGGTTGTGGCCTTTTTTTTTATTTGCGTGAAACAGTAATAAAGCATCAAGTTATCAAGAGAATGGCTCATCATTTCTTTTCATCCATTGAGATAAATGTACAATTATCCAGATACATAATATGCAGCCAAATTTAGAAGTTTGTTTTGTTTGTTTTAGATGAAGATTAGCAAGAGGTGAACATGAGCAGTACAGCATCATCGAGAAACTAAGTGGCTAATGATGCTGCCAAATAAATGATGAGCCCCTCTAGAACAACCATATCCAAAGAACATAGAAGCTTTAACATGCTTCTGGAGGCACATTGCACCATAATGAATGTATTGTCTTGTAGAAGGATAATGCAGCCATGACCCACATGTTCTTTATTTTCTCAAACACCAAAAATTAGGATTGATAACAAGTGTCAAAAAACAATTGCAAATGCGCAACTCCCCTTACTGCCCTGCAAGCATGGTGCCGGACCAGACACACAGCTTCCTGCCCCTAGAAATATTGTGATGTGCCAAAATAAACTCTTCTAAAACTGTAGAGGAACAGTTGGAAACAGTTTTTATTTTTGCCTTAATGTACAGATGCCTGTTTTAGATATATAGATAATGTTGAATGGATCAGGATATGTTGTTTGCAGGGTGATAACTGATACCCAATAACCACTGAAAATACTTGGATGTACCTAAATATATTCCTCTAACTGTAGAGGAACAGTTGGAACGACCTTTTATTTTTTTTTCAATTTCAATATATGGATGCATGTTTTAGTCATATATAGGCAATGTTGAATGGATCAGGATATGTTGTTTACAGGGTGAACTGATAACCAGTAACCACTACAAATAGAGTAGGCTGTCTTCCTACCTTTCTTCGAAGACTATACTTGATTGATTAATGTATATTCTGTCCCCTGTATGTCGCTAAATTTTCAAAGTGCTTATGCAGAGGTGAAGAAAGGCTTTTGGATTCAATGCCTATGCCTAGCTCAGCTAGGTGCTAGGGTCCTGTGATGGAGATGTCACTTCAAGAATTTTATGCATGAGATTTTGTTATGATATTTGGGAGTGCTTATTTGCTTGCTGCTGCTGCAGCTGCAATATGGATTCCTCAAGAATTTTATTATGATATTTGGGAAATGTTCATTTGGTTGCTGCAGCCTTCAAATTCAAAATGCTATTCTGGTGCACTTACCTCTACTGTATCTGTATGAGACCTGAGCTTTGTCATTGGAACAATAGGAATATAAGGCTTAGCGCCATGGTAACACTCCTTTGTTGTAGTTGGCTGTGTAAAACCTTTTCCCTTGATTACACAAAATAAGTCAGTGTTGATAGTAGTCACAGCTCCTTTTGGGGATAAGATGGAACTGATTAGCACTGGATTGGAGATCGCTGGATAAAATCTTGTGTTTGGGTTACTTTAAATCTTGCAGTATATGATTTCTGCTGAACTCTGAAAACTCTCTGGTACTGATTGATGAATCATTAGCCTAAGAAGTAGCAATATCTGGATTCCAGATTCCAGAGTTTAGCATAGAAAAGCACACCTCTGGTTCCTTCTTTGTGTTAACGATGTCATTGGCGACGCACTGTTTCTGCAGCTTGTTCTTTCCAAAGTTTAAAGTTACCATTCTCAATGTTGCCCCTAGATATATAGTAAATTATAATGATATTATTGTGCATCTTACTGGATCCTCATACATTTGTTTTATCACATAAGATGAGATACCGTCCATCAGTGTGCACAGTAGAAATCAAGAGCATATTTTGTTCACAACATACCATTGGTTGTCTGCTTCAGTTGCAGTGACATCATGGTTGACGCTCAGGCTTGTGCTTAGTGCTTATCATCCACCCCCCCCCCCGCCCCCCCCCACCCCCCCACCCCCCCAAAAAAACTCATGGAATGATGAAAGATCTGTACGTGGGGATGAGATGACAACAAAGGTTTGCATTCTCCACACCCCTCTGTCGTCATACCATTCGTTTTGCGGTTGATGCAAAAAAAAAAATTGCCATACTACATGTTTTGAGCGCTCATGATGTCCACCTGCGTTCCTTTTTGCTGTCAAAGGTTTCACCAAAGTCTGAAGAATCCTTCTACCGTACACCGAGCGAGTGAGTCATCCCCTTCCATTCTTGTCCGACAGGCAAAATGTCAGTCAACTAAACGACCGGCCAATCTACGTCGTCCAATCCTAGAGAAAGAGCACTTTGTTAATAGTCGTATGCCTGATTTTACCGGTTTTTAAGGTGATCAATTATTCGCCTATTAGTAATCTTACGATACACTATTCCGAAGCTACTCTGAAAACTTTATACGTCTGCATTCAAATACTTTGTTGCTCAGAGTTTGTTAATAATCTCTCATGGAATGATGGATGAACTGAAAGGGGTTTGTTCATATGAATGAATTTATAAAAAAGTGATACATGGATTATGCATGC